CAATATTCTCAGAAAAGATATGTGGTTTAAAAAAAAAAAAAAAAAAAAAACTGATAAGACTATATCGCAGATTTCTTAATAGGGCTCCTTGTCTAACCCAGGGTGATTATTTTCTTAATTCTCCCAAGGATGGTACAAAACTGTCACTATTCTAGCTATACAGAAGTTAAATCATTTTCATGTAAGATGTCATAGGACATTAAGGTTTAATTCTTTCCTGGGCTCATAGTTTAAAAAGGCTGTAAAATGAAGTGAGGTTATTTGCTTACTTTAATAAAGAAATTCATCAAACTGAGAAATGACTGAAAACTGTTGGCAGAAAGGTTGTTTCTGCATAGCATGTACCTCGAATGAAGATCTATTAGAAAAGCCCTAAAGAAACTCACACACTAGTTTTAATTTCTCTGTTCAAAACTTATTTCATTATTGTTTCTGCCTACCTGTTCTTAAATATTTTCCCTAAAAACTGGTTATTTCAATTAATATTTTCTCTTACCACCCTTTTAAATACTCTACTGCCTAATAACCTACCTGTAACACTCCTTTTATCATGTCTCTTTGCTTAAAATAAAACAATAAAGGAAAAATAATTGCTAGATAAATAAATGTAAAGACCTATAAAGGCTCACCAGGGCAGCTTGAGGCAGTAGAAAGTACATGGGCTTTTTCTTAGGGGGTGGGGATGGGGTATTACATGGGCTTTTAAGTCATCTGGGTTCAAGTTCTAGCCATTTAGTTACTGTGTACCCTTGAAAAAGTTATCTAATGTTTGCGAGTCCCAGTTTCCTACTCTTTAATAAAAAGGTTATACCTTTCTCAGTTTTCAACACGTGGCACACAGAAAGGTTCTCCGGAATACCAATTAACTCCACAATGTTTTACGCTTTCTTGAATCTTGCTTCATCCTTCCTTTTTATCTTTGGCTTGAGCCTCAGCTCAACCAAACATACCTCTTTACTGCTCTTGAATAATTCAAGCCCATCTTTCATCCTAAGCTTTTATTTTTTTTACTATTTCTCTTTCTTGGAATGCTGTTTTCCTCCTATTCACTTAACCAAACCCTATCCATCTTTCATGATCTAGCAGATCCAGACCTAATTCTTACATCAGATGTTTCTTAACTCCACTATTTCATATTGATTTTTCTATGAAAAAGTCTAGATTGATTGATTTATTTTACATTTTATTATAAAAGTTACGAGAAAGCAGACTAGGGTTCTCATTAAATTGTATTTAAGCAGATCACTAATGTTGTTGTTGTTAGGTTCCACAGAGTTGGTTCTGACTCATAGCGACCCTATGTACAACAGAACAAAACACTGCTCAGTCTTGCACCATCCTCACAATCGTTATGTTTGAGCCCACTGTCGCAGTCACTGTGTCAGTTCATCTCACTGAGGGTTTTCTTCTTTTTCCCTGACCATCTACCAAACATGATGTCCTTCTCCAGAGACTGGTCCCTCCTAGTGACATGTCCAAAGTGTGTGAGATAAGTATCATTACCTTCGCTTCTAAGGAGCATTCTGACTGTACTTCTTCCAAGACAGATTTGTTCATTCTTCTGGCAGTCCATGGTATATTCAATATTCTTTGTCAACACCGTAATTCAAAAGCATCAATTCTTCTTTGGTCTTTCTTATTCATTGTCCAGCTTTCACATGCATATGAGGTGACTGAAAATACCATGGCTTGGGTTAAGCACATCTTAGTCCTTAAAGTGACATCTTTGCTTTTCAACACTTTAAAGATGTCTTTTGCAGATGCGTCCAATGCGATGTATTATTTGATTTCTTGACTGCTGCTTCCATGGGTGTTTTGATTGTGGATCCAAGTAAAATGAAATCCTTGACAACTTCAATATTTCTCTGTTTATCATGATGTTGCTTATTGGTCCAGTTGTGAGGATTTTTGTTTTCTTCATGTTAAGGTGTAATCTGTACTGAAGGCTTCATCTTCATCAGTAAGTGCTTCAAATCCTCTTTACTTTTAGCAAGCAAGGTTGTGTCATCTGCATATCGCAGGTTGTTAATGAGTCTTCTTTCAATCCTGATGCCGTGTTCTTCTTCATATAGCCCAGCTTCTTGGATTATATACGCAGCATACAGATCAAATAACTATGGTGAAACTATACAATCCTGAGGCATACCTTTCATGATTTTAAATCATGCAGTATCCTCTTGTTCTGTTTGAACAACTGTCTCCTGGTCTATGTACAGGTTCTGCATGAGCACAATTAAGTATAAGTGTTCTGGATTTCCCATTCTTCACAATGTTATCCATAACTTGTTATGATCCACACAGCCGAATGTCTTTGTATAGTCAATAAAACACAGGTAAACACCTTTCTGGTATTCTCTGCTTTCAGCCAAGATCCATCTGACATCAGCAATGATATCCCTCCTTTCACGTCGTCTCCTGAATCTTGCTTGAATTTCTGGCAGTTCCTTGTTGATGTACTGCTGCAACAATTTTTGAATTATCTTCAGCATAATTTTACTTGCACGTGATATTAATGATTTGTTTGATAATTTCCAAATTCCATTGGATCACCTTTCTTTGGCATGTATATAGATCTCTTCCAGTCAGTTGGCCACATAGCTGTCTTCAAAATTTTGAGAAGTGAGACTAGTGTTCTCATTAAACTGCTATTTATTTAACCAGTTTACTAATAGATTTAGATAAATCTGGTAACAAAGTAAAAAACAGCATTTTTTATATCTTAGAGATTATCAAAACCATGCTAAGGAGCAGACTGCTGGGCCTCTAAAGGCAAAATATTTGACTGCTGAATATACATATTGTTATGGACTGAATTGTGTCCCACCCGAAAAATATACTTAAGTATTAATCTCTACATTGGTGAAGATACCCTTGTTTGGGGAAACAGGGTTCTTTGCAGATGTTATCAGTTAAATTAATGAAGTCATAATGGAGTAGGGTGGGTCTTAATCTTAATCCTTTCTAAGTGGTGTTTCATAAAAGAGGAGACACAAAAACAACGTCACACATAGGGGAAGACAGCATGTGAAGATCTGTCTACAAACTAAGGAACTCCAAGAAATGCCCATGGCTACAGAAGCTGAAAGATACAAGGGAGGATCTTTCCCTGCAGCTGACAGAGAAAGAGCACAGCCTTGCTGACGCCAGGAATTCAGACTTCTACCCTCCAGAACTGTGAAAAAATAAATTACTGTTCTTTAGAGCCTCGCACTTTTGTGTTATTTTGTTATGGCAGCCCTAGGAAAGTAAGACACATATATTCTCGGATTTTGACAAATTCTGATCTTTAAATTTGGACACCATAGCACAGTACTTAAAAAGTGTCCTGCAAATGCTGGATATTTGATAAATATTTGATTGACTAATCAAATGGCGTAAGTTACATCACTCTTTTCAAGGAATTCAGAAAACTATCACAAGACTCTCATAATTTTCAGATCAGGTTTCTGTAATATGGAAGGCAAATACTACAATCTCCAGTTACATTTGATCAGCTTATATCTGTACGTACACAATGAAGTTGTAAATGAAAGAAATTATATATAATATTCGAGACTTTTTAAATACCAGAAATAATTCAATAATTAAAGGAAACAATAAGCAAATATATGTGTGTGTGAGAAAGAGTGTGCATGTGTGTGTGTAGCAACAGAGCTACTTTCATCTATCAAAGATAATCAGTAAGGAAACTGAAAATCACACACATTTTCAGTTAAGAGTCACAGGTATTTTCCTCCATCTTTGCTTTATAAATCCAACAGAAATCATGCTTATTTAACATTTTTATAAAGCAGCAACTTCAGAAAAGTCATGATGCAGAATTAAGAAAATGACTGATTAACAATTCATTGTAAATATTTAAAGAACATTAAATATGGAGGGCAGATGGTTATCAGAAGAATATTCCAGATAACTATGAGAAATTACACAGTATTGAATGCTTAGTCTTGCTCTTTACTTAAATCAGTGTTTCTCAAACTTCTCCACTGAAACAGAGCCTCTTTGACAAAACACCCTGATAAAGGCTGAGGATAAAGAACATAAATCCCCATAGTAAGAGAGCATCATAACCCAAAACTATGCCACAATACTAAATTTCTCAGGCACTAGCTTAAAATGGATGCTCTAAAAAGATGTGCCACGTGTATCACTGGGAGATACAGCTTTTCACTGAGACATCTCCCAGTGATACATATGATTCAGTTTGAGAGGCACTGACTTAAATCAACGGATGCCTATCAAAAAAATATTTTCCTAGATTATGATACTAGAATAATTTTATTTTACAATGCTCGGGACAGATAATAATGAAGATTATTGGATATTTGTTGAGTATTAAGGATGCAAAAGGCATTGTATTAGGTTTTTATGTATATAATCTCAATTTTCAAAATGTAAATATGATCATCCCCATTGTACTGATGAAGCCACTTAGACACAAAATGATTAAATACCTATCCCCAGGTAATAAATATCGGTCACCTTTTACCTAGGTCTCTATTATATCACAACTCCATCATATTTTGTTTTTACAGAAATCCCTTTCTCTGACCTATGTTTACTTTACTTTTCAACAATTTAATGGAGGTGCACTGTGACCAGCCCAATAGGCATGAATGTCTAAAGAAACTTTTCAGTAGTGCCAGAGCTATCTCTAAGCAATCAGTTTTTTAAAATCTATATTTCTCTATACTCAATTATCACTCTTGGTCCTTTCTTGTTAAAAGCTTTTTCTCTTTCTTTGCTTCTTAACCACTTTCATTTTACAGTCTGGAGTACTGAATACAACAAAACTACCTAGCAATAAATGGTGCTTTAATAGTAAGTTCACTCTGAGCTCTACTGTCAAAAGAATGTTTATAGTCTCTGTTGCTGGTTCAGTCTATTCATTTTTTAAAAGTTTAGGTGATTTGACATTTGTACTTAAGGTTAAATGATATTACGTTTTTAATTTAACTATTTAAGTACATTAAAATCCACAGGTAAGCTATGCTACTAACCATCTTCCAGTTCGATTTGCAATCTGCTCTTCTAATTTCTGTAGCTCTGATGTGTAAGCCAGTATTCGAGCATTGCACACCATGAGATTCTTAACTGCATGCAAAACCTGGTCTTTCTGAGTGCTCAAAGAAAGGAGTTTCCATATTCCTTCTCGCATTCGAATTTCTAAGTCAATTTTTTCTTGAATGCTGCAGTCCTAAACAAAAGGAAAAAAAACCTTATTTTAAAAAGATATCAGAAATCCAACTTTATAACATTTCTTTTTTTCACTTAGTAGAAGGAAAATGTACTAAATGTCATTATAATTTTATACCACATTGAGAAAGCAACAAAGTTTTAATATGTGATAGTATTAAAGAAATACCTATTTTTAAATACTCTTACAAAATCTTTTATCCCTTACTTTACTAGGAAGTCTTTCCAGTCTACTAGATAAAACAGAAACAAAGGTGAGAAATGCTACATGTTCTTACCTTAACTATTATTGTTATTGGGTGCTGTGGAGTCGATTTCGACTTACAGAGACCCCATGTGACAGAGTAGAACTGGCCCATAGGATTCTCTAGGCTGTAATCTTTATGGGAGCAGATCACCAGGTCTTTCTCGTATGCAGACGCTAGGTGAGTTCAAACCACCAACCTTTTGGTTAGCAGAAGAGCACTTAACCGTTGTACCACCAAGGCTCCTTTACCATAACTATACTAGGTTGAATAAAGTCCCCCCACAAATTCATGTCCATTGGGAACTTGTGAACGTGACCTTATTTGGAAACAGGGTCTTTATAAATGTAATTTAGATGCAGTCATACTGGATTAGGGTGGGCTCTAAACCCAATGACCGGTGTCCTTACAAAGTCATGTGAAAACACAGAGAGACACACACAAAGAGGAAAATGACATGTGAAAATGGAAACAGAGACTGGAGTGATGTATCTACGAGACAAGGAATGCCAAGGACTGACGTCAACTACAGAAGACGGAAGAGGCAAGGAAGGATTCTTCCCTAGAGCCTTCGGAGGATGCATGGCCCTGTCCACACCTTGATTTCAGACTTCTGCACTCGAGAACTGTAAGAGAATAAATTTCTATTGTTTAAGTCAGTTTATGGTGCTTTGTTCTGGCACGTTAACTAATCAACAATACAGCATGTGTAGACATTATACAAGCTGCATTACAGGATGGCAAGATGTGGTTGGTGACGCTGAGTTAACCGAGGAAGAACTCTGAAAGAACAGGTACTGAATAAAGCAGGCAAAGTTTAGCAGCAAGGAGGTGACAGGCTATTTGTCACGGTAAACAGAGGAAATAAAATCTTCAAAGCAGCAGAGTGAAAGCACTGAGTTTAGAAAATGTCAGAAGCCTTGGCAACCTGGGATAGAGATTTAGAATATCATTCTGGAGCCATTTATTTTAGTTTTAAGAGTCACTGTGAAACTACCAAAACATTTTAGTTCTGAAAGTCTTTTATTCTATAATCTTATAATAGCTTGCTTTTAGATACAAGTTTTATATGCAACATTAAAATTTTATAAACTGACTATACCATCCTGATTTAATTCACAGTGGCATTTTTAAAATTATAAATCATAGGATACTTTTCACTATTCTACAAACATGTAATACTGCTTCCAGTATGTCTATTTCTAAAAGTAAAGTGACCATCCTAAGCTTCTGTGATAAAAAATGAGAAGTATCGTTTACTTTTTAATTAGATCAAAATGTAAACTTAAAAAATATAAATGGAATATAATAAGAAAAGTTTCAGATATGAAAAAGACAATCTTGGCAAAAAAGAAAAAAGCTGAAAGTTAGGAGAGCTAAAATTTTATAAAGACGATCTAAAAAGAGAGAGGCTGCAGTAACCAATTTAACTTGACTATCCAAATCAATCAACTGTACTATTCACATGCAGAAAACAGATATGTTTAATTACTTTTTCTAATTACATCATGTAATTACCACATAAAAACCTTCTCATGTAGTGTTGTAACTCAAAACTGGTGTGCTATATAAATGTAGCCATTTGCTGGTTTTCTTCTTTACACATCATTGAATTTCAACAACTCCATTTCATCTTTTTATGTCTTGTCAGTCCCAAAGTAAATTCTTCTTTAATGTAATTAGCAATTAATTATAAGAATTATCTATGTGACCCGTATGTCTATAGAAATATACCCTGGCAAGCTGGTTAGTATTGGGGAGTGTACACAGGGAACAACGTGAAGCTGGAATGAATAGCTTTACCCCACAACTCAAATATAAACAAATACCATCTGGTGCTACTAAATTCAATTTTGCTTTTTAAATGCTCCAGTGACGCAGCCAGCTGAACTAGCACAGTGTTTCTCAAAGCTGGCTGCACATTAAATCACCTAGGGCAGAGAGGAAGGGCCTTATAAAAAACACCTAAGCCTGTGACCTACCTCAAACCAATTAAAATTTCTGGCAGTGGGGCCTGAGCTTTTTCTTTTTTTTTAAATTCCTGGGACAATTCAATGTGCAGCCAGGGTAGAAAGCCACTGCCGGACTATTTCAAATTCCACAGCAGTCTTGAAAGCTGCAACAACCTTATGGAACCAGCAGGTGGCAACAGCTACACAGAGCAATCAGTTTCAGCTGCTAGAGTTTCTAATCCTGTAAAGACTGTGTTCTTTCCAACCCTTACTGGTGAAGATAGCATAAAACTACAGAGGCTTGAGCAATAGTGAAGAAAGGAAATCTAAAGCTAGCTTTTTTTTTTTAATCTTATTTGTAAGACTAAGTTAATATTCAAAAGGAAACAAATTATGTTTATCAAATATTAGTATTAGAATTCTATCCTTTAGAGCAGGGGTCAGTAAAGTATGGCTTGTCCTCTGCCTGCTATTGCAAATAAAGTTGTATTGGAACACAGACAAACCCATTTATACTGCCTATGGCTACCTTCAAACTATAATGGCAGAATTGAGTAATTTCAACACAGAAACTAGAAGGCCCACAAAACAGAAAATATTTACTATCTGGATTCTTATTGAAATAGTTTGCTGACCCATAACCCAGCCAAATTAACATATATAGTAAACTATAACCCCACTTCCCCTGCAGAGGCAGGTCTCAGGCTAATGTGACCAAAGTGGCTTTGGGAGGGCTGACACAAGCAGAATTAATGGGTTACTATACGTACAGCTCTGAATGTATTCAGAGTGACAAAGAAAGGGTGGTTTTAGTCACTTTTATATTCTCCATGCGCTTCTTTAAGTACACATATACACTTCATGCAGAAAAAGATCTTTTCTGGTCGATTCAGACTAGCTCTTAGGCTTTAGGAAGCAAAGGGAGTTGTCTTTAGTTAATAGGGCTGCGAAGTGCTTCTGGGGAAAGAAATGATGTCTAGTGCTATCCACGGTGAGAACAATGATGTAATGAGTGTTCAGTGATGATGCACCCTGACCTCAAAGAAGAGAAGCAGGGAGCCAAAATCATCACTACTGCTGCCTCAGCCATAATGGCCTGACAGATAAAAGTCAAGAACGATTAGGACCAATGACAAAAGCGTGTTTTCTTGTATACGGCCTCTTAGAAGTGTTTGAATGTAAGTCTCTAGGAAGAGCAGAGGATGGGGGAAAAGTCGTCTCTTGCCATTTCTTCCTTTTTGATTTTCTGACTAAGGGTTTGCTTGCAATCAAGTCAAACAGAATCCTATGCCACTGTCTTTATCTTACAGATACTTAAAGTCAGGAAGACAAACATAAACTGACAGGCCATCACTACTGATCACAAGGATAATATTATGAACAACTCTGTGTCCAAAAATCTGATAAATTAGATGAAATGGACAAATTCCTTGAAAGACACAATCTATCAAAACTCACAAAGAGAAACAGATAATCTGAACAAGCCTATATCTATTAAAGAAACTGAATCAACAATTAATAACATTCCAAAATAGAAAGCATGAGGTCCAGATGGTTTCATGGGTGAACTGTACCAAAATTTAAAGAAGAAATTATACCAATTCTCTCCAATCTCTTTCAGAAAAAACAGAAGGAGAGGGGATACTTACCAACTAATTTTATGAGACCATCGCTATGAATTGGAATCGACCCGACAGCAGTGGGTTTGGTTTCTTGGTTTTTATTACCCTAATACTAAAACCAGACAAAGACATTATAAGAAAGGAAGATTATAGACCAATACCTCTAATGAACATACATGAAAAAGCTTCAACAAAATATTAGCAAACCAAATCTAATCATGTATAAAAAGAATTATACACCACAACCAAGTGGGATTTATTCCAGGTATGCAAGGCCAATTTGACATTTGAAAATCAACTAATATAATCCATCACACATCAACAGGCTAAAGAAGAAAAGTCATATGATCGTATCAACAGATGCAGAAAAAGCATTTGACAAAATCCACCATCTGTTCAAGATAAAAAAAATCAGCAAAATAGCAATAGAGAGGACTTATTCAACTTGATAAAGAACATCTACAAAAAACCTACAGCTAACATCATACTTAAAATAGTAAGAAACTAGATGTTTTCCCCTAAGATTGGGAACAAGACAAAAATGTCCCGTCTTACCACATGTCTTAGTTATCTAGCGCTGCTATAACAAAAACACCACAAGTGGATGGCTTTAACAAAGAGAAGTTAATTTCCTCACAGTAAAGTAAGCTAAAAGTCCAAATTCAGGGTGTCAGCTCCAGGGGAAGGCTTTCTCTCTCTGTAGGCCTTCACATGGATGTTCCCC